AAATATATCTACACACACTGTACACACACTGTACACATCTCAAATACATCTTCACACACTGTACACACCCTAAATATATCTTCACACACTGTACACACACTGTACACACACACTGTACACATCTCAAATATATCTTCACACACTGTACACACCCTAAATATATCTGCACACACTGTACACACACTGTACACACCCTAAATATATCTTCACACACTGTACATACACTGTACACACCTTAAATATATCTACACACACTGTACACACCTTAAATATATCTACACACACTGTACACATCTAAAATATATCTTCACACACTGTACACACACTGTACACACCTTAAATATATCTACACACACTGTACACACACACTGTACACACCCTAAATATATCTACAGACACTGTACACACACACTGTACACACCTTAAATATATCTACACACACACTGTACACACACTGTACACACCTTAAATATATCTACACACACTGTACACACACACTGTACACACCCTAAATATATCTTCACACACTGTACACACACACTGTACACACCCTAAATATATCTACACACACTGTACACACACACTGTACACACCCTAAATATATATACACACACTGTAGTGTACTTATGGACCTGGCTGAAGAATCATCTGCTATCAAACCCTTCTACGACACACTCTGTTCTGCGCTGTAACGAGAGGTAAGGACACACTTTTGTTTACCTTCACAACAATTATTTCATTATTGATTATTGTTTGGTCAATAGATGTCAGAACATTGGGAGAAATATCCATCCCTGATTCTGAAAGTCATCAATGAATCAATTACTCATCGCAGCTCTAATGAACACGCATGCAGTCACTAATGTGATTCATGTGAGTTTCAGAGATTACCAAACGCTATAAAACTAATAGAAACACCTTTTAAATTGTTTTAAAATGTAAATGATAATACATTTTTATACAGTATTTGTTTGCTGCTTAGATATTTTAAAAGCTCTGCATAGGTGACACATCTAGTACATGTAAATTCAAGGAGGACATTTTGCATACAACAATTAGGAAAGGCTGAATTAGATGATCAACACATTGTTGTTATTTGATATTTAATTTGTATTTATCAGACATTTGTTAACGTTTCTCACATGTGTTATTGCTTTGTTCTTCTTTGGTTGCTTTTACATAAGTTAATAACCTCAAAGTTGAATTGGAAATGTATTTATTGGGGATTTTAATTATCCTTTTAGCGACTCTTATGCGAAATATGCATTAAGTAGTTGGAAATATCAACACTAAGCAGATTTAGGTTGCCTGTTTTTTTTTTTACTGTTGCAGACTTTGACGTTAAAAGTCATTGTATTAATGTTGACTGTAAATAAATAGATGCTCAGGTAACCGGGTCACCTGTCCTATTAATGGTCATTCTAAATAAATAGTCCCTCCTCAGGTTCACCTGTCCGGGACACTTTGTGTCGCTCGGCCCAATCCAATTAATCCTCCGACTGACCCGCCGTGACTCCATTAACAGAAACCATAACATTAACCTGCAGGCGGCAGCAAGGAGGACAGGTTTAGATATTTCAATTAAGGAAGAAATAGGAAGTAGAATGTCCTTAAGTGTCAATTTATTAAGGGTGTGGATTAAAAGCAGAATAATGTAGGAGTGGAGATCTGCTGCTGCTGGTTTTAAGACCAGCTCGGATCAAAGGATTAACCTTGGTGACCTTTGACCCGCTGATAGTTAGTGAGCCTTTAAAGCACTGCAGTAATCATGCACAGGTAGAGGAGTTCTTAATAAACATGGTGTCAAGAAAAAGTCAAGTAATGTATTCATTCTACACATCTTCTAACTAAAATGAGTCATTTAACCCTAGTGTTCGGGTCGAGTCTGACCCATTTACTAATTTCATCAATCATACATATTGTGTTTTACATCTGATTGCCTCAAGGCCTTATTCTATCCTCCACAGGAGACATTTGAACATACAAAATGTTGATAATCCACCAAAGGAAATGAATGGGTAACCCTAGAGGTGGGAGGAGTACTCAGATCTTGTACTTGAGTAAAAGTAGAAGTACTCAGATCTTGTCTTGAGTAAAAGTAGAAGTACTCAGATCTTGTACTTGAGTAAAAGTAGAAGTACTCAGATCTCTTGAGTAAAGGTAGAAGTACTCAGATCTTGTACTTGAGTAAAAGTAGAAGTACTCAGGTCTTGTACTTGAGTAAAAGTAGAAGTACTCAGATCTTGTAGTAAAAGTAGAAGTACTCAGATCTTGTACTTGAGTAAAAGCAGAAGTACTCAGGTCTTGTACTTGAGTAAAAGCAGAAGTACTCAGACCTTGTACTTGAGTAAAAGTAGAAGTACTCAGATCTTGTACTTGAGTAAAAGTAGAAGTACTCAGATCTTGTAGTAAAAGTAGAAGTACTCAGATCTTGTACTTGAGTAAAAGTAGAAGTACTCAGATCTTGTACTAAAGTAAAAGTAGAAGTCCCAGAGTGTAGGAATACTCTGTTCCAGTAAAAGTCCTGCATTCAAAATGTTCCTCAAGTAAAAGTAGAAAAGTATTCTCATCAAAATATAGTTGAAGTAGCGACAGTAAAAGTAGTCATTGTGCAGATTGGTCCATTTCAGAATAATATATATGATATGTTTTATAATGATTGATCATGAAAGTGTTCTCAAAGCTGGTAAAGGTGCAGCTAGTCTGAATGACTTTGTATACTGCAGGGTAGCTGGTGGATTTACTCCAGGTGGAACTAAAGTCTGATTTAACACTTGATTTCACATCATTGATCCACATCTGTGAAGTAACTAAAGGGATTAAATACATGTAGTGGAGTAGAAGTACAAAGTAGCAACAAATGGGAATACTCAAGTAAAGTACATGTACCTCAAAATTGTACTTAAGTACAGTTCTTGAGTTAATGTACTTAGTAACTTCCCATCTGTAACCCTGGATTATGTTCATCCATCATAGTACACACCATAACCATCAATTTGAAACTCATTTTCAGTGTCTATTCAAGTAGACCAGTTGTCCCCGTTTTTACAGCTTAAATGGGTGTTAAAATAAACACAATTCGGTGAGGATTCATTGTTTTTGTGTAAATGTAAGAGCAGAACAGAACACCAAAGTAAGGGGAGAAACGAACACAACATGGGGGTTAATATACAATACAATACAGCTTTATTTAAAAGCACTTTAAAACCTCCAGACCAAAGTGCTGTACAGTCAAATAAACAAACAAAACATACAAAAATGTCCTGTATTTCATTCTAGAAAGGATCTTGTCTTTCCTGAACGTCAGATGTCTGATATCTGATGCTGATCTCAGTTCCCTTTGACCCTGTTTTTTCCCCGTGTGTTTCAGAATAATGTCCGGACCCAGACCCGTGGTGCTGAGCGGCCCCTCCGGAGCGGGGAAGAGCACTCTGATGAAGAGGCTGATGAAGGAGCACGAGGGCATCTTCGGCTTCAGCGTGTCACGTACGTTAGTGTGGAAGTACACGAGGAAACACGGTGTATTAGATTGAAGGTCTAATTCGGACCCTGCAGATAGATTTTGTGGCATTCATATTTTTCAGTGCTTGTACATAAATAAATGTCCTTTAAATGCTGAAATGGAAGTTTTGCAGCAATTTTGCTTTGATATAAATCAAAAACAGCCATTAGAGATGATTTATTGCCATCTCAGGGTTTTAACAGGCACATTTTCTCCATACAGACACAACAAGAAACCCACGACCAGGAGAGGAAAACGGCAAAGGTAGGCTACTTCTGGCTCAAAACTGTTTTAAAAACACTTAGTATCTGCGCATGTGTTACATTCATGTATTCATTTATCCCAAACATTTGCCAAGTATGAGAAAAATAAAGAGCTTTTTGAACATTAAAACATTGAGACTTACACAAATATTAATTGTATTAATATTATTATTATTTATTAATTTTATTTCAGACAATTTATCTGAATGACCTTTAAACTTGTAAAAATCCATAGTCTGTTTATTGTCAAACACACAGATGATGTTTTAAGCACCTTCACACTGCAGTAGGACCCTCATGCTCTGTGATGCACCTGAAGGGGCTTTAGACTTGGATTTGAAACTGAAAAACTGTGATAAAAGTGTTTTTTTGCACCTTTTTGTATCTTGTTCAGTGCTCCACATTTCCCCGCCCCACCCCTTTCTTTCCCGTTCACCAAAAACACTTCTTACTCCCAAGATAACTGCACGCTGGTTGTGTCCCCTCTGTTAAATCCGTGGATATAAAGGATAAACATCTCTGTGCCTTCTTTGCTTTCTCCATAGGGCTGAACAGTCTCCCCATGCTTCTGGGGGCGATTTTATTTCCTGTAGCAGACGTCTATTCCTCTGAAGACTTAGAAAGCTCATTTTCGTGTCCTAACAAATCTGAAACCACAGATAAAGGTGACCTCCGTGTGATTCCTGATCACAGTTTTAAAGCAGAGGGGTTACTTTCATCATTCAGGCACCAATTATTAGATCTGTAGTCCATACTTGCCAACCTTGAGACCTCATAAATCGGGAGCATTTCAAAACCACCGCGGGGGGGCTGTTAGTGGATCGCCGGAGCTGTATTAGATTAACATTAACATGCTTATTGTAGTTGTAAGTTCACTGTCTTGATGGAGCATATGTGTGGGCTGGACCTGTATTATAGGAAAGGAGTGAGCAGAGGCTAGAGTTTTTGATTCTTGTTCTGTTTTCTGTGACTATCTGCCTCACCCTCTCAGAATTTCAGTTGCACGCGCTACTAAAGAGACGCGCTACCATGGAAACCAAACAATGGTGTAGCTGTATTAAAGTCCGAGTGGAAACAGTCCTGAGTAAATCGGATTTAGTCAGAAATCGGGAGAAATGCGGGAGAAATATGACCCCGGGAGGAAACCGGGAGAGGGCAATGAAATCGGGAGTCTCCCGCGAAAATCGGGAGGGTTGGCAAGTATGCTGTAGTCACTAATACAATGTGACAAACCATAAGAGAAATTCAAAACATGTTTAGTAATCTAGAGAATCAGGATAGAACAGTTTACACTTTGGAGTAAAAAGTCTTGAAAATAGCCCTCTGTGATGTGTCTTAGTGATTCCCGTTTCCTGTCCCGTCCTTCTCTTCCCACTGATGAGCGTTGGAGCGTAACATTCTGATAACAACGGCATACTTGACTCATTCTGAACCAAACCTGGGCTTTTAACTAAGAAACGCTTGTCTGTTTCTTATCTCAAATGTTTTCAGTAACATATTTGACTGTTTTACTCTGAAATTAGGAAGTTCGTGACTCGGCCGCAATGTTGTAAACAAAACCCAAACAACATACGCAGCAGAGTTTCTAATTTTGCGGCAAAACAGTAGCTACACCAAAGTATGTTTCTGGAAATGTTTGTACAAGATATACGCTACGCAGAAACATCATCTTGACTTATTTTTAGTTTAAAGTAAGTGTGGAGTTCACCAGCAGTGATTAACGCTGCATTAAAGGGGTGGCAAATGTCATTAGGAACAATAAGGGAGGCAGAGGAACATTTAATCTGTTTAATGCTCCACTTTAATAGCAAGAGTTTAAGAAAATATTACAAAAAGGTTCGTTTTATTCAAGTTTCTTACGGCAGTTTTTAAGTAATTTCTGCGTCTCGTTCAGGTGTTATCCCTTCTTTGTTCATCAGAACCACTTCCTATTTCATTGTTACTTAGAACCTAACGTTCTCATGCTAATGAGTGTGTGCTATCGCAGTGTCCACTAGTGTTAGAAGTAGAACATAAATAAATGCTGCTTTAGACCCTAAGAGGTTTAGACATTGTTAGATTTAGGCATATGAATGTAGTATTTGCCACAAGCCACAATAATATCCTTTTTGATTTCCTTCCACTTTCCTCGTAATCTTAGCTGTTTATTGTGATGAAATTATCTGGCAATTATGTATATAACTAACTATATTGTGAATGTTCAAACTAGGCTCATTGCTAATGTTAATGCATTTTACAGATTACCACTATACTACCAGAGAGGTCATGCAGGAGGGAATTGACAACGGAGACTTCATCGAGAACGCAGAGTTCTCCGGCAACCTGTATGGAACAAGGTAAATACTTACACTCATTCATTTGCATGTGTTGTGCAGTATCTCCTAATGGAAGTGGACCGACCGTTGTTGCACTTGTTGGCCACCATGAATTTATGCTTCACATTTCACATTTTTCAGGCAAATGTTCTACTTTTAACTGATCGAAAAGCTTCATTTCTGATATAGATTACAATTTGGAAAACAGAAAGTGATTTTATGCTTCTGATAAATTGAAGGACAAAGTATTTTCCTGAGCAGCAGTAGAAACAGTTTGTACATCAACAGAAGTTCAATGCAATATGCCCATGAGAGTCATATGAATTCTAAACAGTATTTGTAACAGGAAAACACTGACTGGGAACATTTTACAGAAAAATGTTTCTTTCTTTCAGTAATAAAGTGCATTTTCCCTGCTATTTTGACTTTATTAAGGCTTCCAATGCAGGCTTTTAACTTGTAGTGGAATCATTGTAATACTTTTATCAATCTAATCACTCTGGTTATGTACAGTAATCTACTCTGACGCTCGGCCACAGGGTACGGGAGGATATAAAATAGTTTTGCGACAGATGGCTGTTTGACCTCTCGGGTCAAAAAGAGCAGCGCTGCAGCTCAGCACCTCCTCGTGTGTCACATTTAATCTCTTCCTCTTATTCTGAGGATAACACACACTCACTGCTGTGTGAGTCTGAGCAGCTGGGATCAACGCAGCGATCCTCTTAACTCGGTTACATTAAACTCAATGCCTGCGTGAAGAAGCCTCTTGTTTTATATGATTTAATGACGTCTCAATGCATTGGTTCTGCAGTAAAGCGGCCATTCAAGACGTGATCGACAAGAACCTGATGTGCATCCTGGATGTGGACATCCAGGGAGTGAGGAGGATCAAGGAGACCGAGCTGAACCCCATCTACATCTCCATCCAGCCCCCCTCCATGGACGTCCTGGTAAATGTCCCTCTACAGTATCATTGCAGTGTTGTGGCGATCCAGCATAACACAACAGGAAAGAATGAAACAGAGAGGAACCAATCAAACACAGAAATAGTTGAGATGAATCATTATTATTTAGTTGCGTACCACCAAACAACAATGGGGAAACATTACCTTGCTTCAACAGCAACCAATCGCACAAATGCCCCCACTAATACAAGAAACACAGGGCAGATATACGTTTCTACATGACACACGAACATGTTCCCTAAACATGTTTAACACACACATAGTCAGGTCTCCTAAACTTGGACATGTTCCAGATGTCGAAAGGTCCTCATCTCATGACTTCTTTAGGAGTCTTGCAGGATATGAATGATCCAGTTAACAAACTATATACATACGTCTGCACATGAACGCACATACATTTCTTACATTAACACTTAACTGTATTATATCTGAATTAGCCTCTTTGCATTTCCTCTGAGCTTGGCGTCAGCTCACCTAATGTAATAATTAGCGAAGAGACGATTCTATGGAAACTGTAACTTAATAACACCTAGTTACTATGACTAGGTCCAAGATTGATACAACAGCAGTATTTCAACGCACATATTGCATTCATTCAGCTCTGTTGCTACTCCACCACTTCGTCTCTTGGACGCAACATTAAATCACCACAGATTTCTCTTGGTATCAACAACAAGCAACACTTCATATTCGGACACTTTTAGAAGTTGGGCAGCAATTAAGGGAGGAAATCTAAATATAGAAGTGTAGTTTTTTAAAAACAGCTTTACCTGTAATGATTCTCCTCTTTTTGGATCGTTTTACCCGAGTCACATCATACCAATGTTCACATAACCATACTTGCCAACCTTTAGACCTCAGAAGTCAGGAGCAATGCAAAGTTGGGGGGGGGGGGGTGCTAGTGGATCGCCGGAGCTGTTAGATTAACATTAACATGCTTATTGTAATTGTAAGTGCACTGCCTTGCGGCCTGTAGCACCTTCCTTGATGGAGCATATGTGTGGGCTGGACCTGTATTTTACAGGAAAGGAGTGAGCAGAGAGTAGAGTAGTTGTCGATTCTTGTTCTGTTTTCTGTGAATATCTGCCTCACCCTCAGACTTTGAGCTGCGCGCGCTACTAAAGAGACGTGTTACCATGGAAACCAAACAATGGTGTAGCTGTATTAAAGTCCGAGTGGAAACAGTCGTGTGTAAATCTGATTTTGTCAGAAATCGGGAGAAATGCGGGAGAAATATGACCCCGGGAGGAAACCGGGAGAGGGCAATGAAATCGGGAGTCTCCCGCGAAAATCGGGAGGGTTGACAAGTATGCATATAGTACACACGTGTACACACTCATTGGGACTGTTACTTCTTTCTAGATATCTACTATAGTTATTGAGATATATGGATTTAAGTATTCATATTTTACTGTAATCGTTTTTTGAATGGGCGTCATATATTCATCACGTCTCAAATATTATTCGTGATAAAGTAACAACACTAGGTACACAGTCAGTTATTGTGCAGTTTGGCTAATAACTCACCTGGATTACTTCTGCTTGCTCTTGCCTCTGCTTACTTTTTTATGCTGATTTTCCTATTTTTCTTTTCTGATAACTTCGAGCAGCGGCTCCTGGACATTATCTTATCACTGGGACAGTTATTCTTCGTCGGATGAGAATAGGTCATACAGGTCTCAATCATACATTAAGTATAATAGGAAAGCATCCAACCGGAAAGTCTGTAGATAGCCAGAAACTGCTGAACATGTTTTACTGCATTGCAGGAAATATAGTAGGCCTACTCAGAGAAATGTGCTTTCCCAGACACTGAAGAAAGCAAAATACCATGACTTTTCGCTATCAGGGCTGTTAGGGAAAACATCAGGCAATATATATTGTGAAATTATTACCAAGATAAATGGATACATTTAAATTAATCTAGAGTTTTATTTCTTTTTTCTTTTATTTCCTTTCTTTTTGTTTATTATTTTTCTGCATAGTCTCTTGTCCACACTCCAGTCCAGTTGGTGGCGGTAATGCACCTACAAGTTGGTTTGCAAACCGCCAATAAACACAAAAGAAGAAGAAGAAGAAGAAGAAGAAGTTATTCTTCGTAAATAGATAAAGGGTTTCAGCGGGTTTCAGCCATATTTCAATATTTTTACGACGACCTCACTCCTACAGTAGCGTGGCCTAGCAACAGCTAATTAAAGCCTGGTACTGCATGCTATTTAGCTAGTTAGCAGCAAAATGCCTCCGCTCTCTACAGATGACTTCCTCAAACTTCTACAGAAGATGGCAGTGTTGGAAATGAAAATGCAACGGTTGGAACTTAACGTGGAAGTGAATGGACTTGGTTGGAATGACACCACTTTACCAGTGCTGCAAAATAATGGAAAAGGGCATGCTAACCTACAGCTAGTTAGCAGCTACAAGGATTCCAAGGAACAGGAGGGCTGTGTACCGGGTAATACATCTACAAGTGGTAGTACCACTTGTAGATGTATTACCCGGTACACAGCCCTCCTGTTCCTTGGAATCCTTGTAGCTGCTAACTAGCTGTAGGTTAGCATGCCCTTTTCCATTATNCCACGGCTGTTTCCTAGTAGGAAGAGGGGTTGAAGAGGCGCTCTTCCTGGGTGATAACAATGCAGGCCAGCCGGTCGCATCACAGATTTCAGAGCGCTGGGCTCTGCCTGTTATTACTCCCAAATCCCATGGAAATGATTTACTCTTAGGTTTTGCACCCAGAGAGTTCCAGGGAGGACTACCACTTGTAGATGTATTACCCGGTACACAGCCCTCCTGTTCCTTGGA